CAGAGCATTCGAGTTCTTGCTCCTCAGCATGTCCTCAGTTTGGCTCAAGTAAACTCCTATAAAAATTACCTATAATCTATACAGATAGAAAGTAGATTAGTGGTTGCCTGTTGCTGAGGTTGCCTATTGGGTGGCTTAGAGAAGGATGGTGAATTGCTGCTAATGGATATGGGTTTTCTTTCGGGGGTGATGAAAATGTTCTCAAATGGATTGTAGCGATGGTTGAATGGTTCCATGAATACACTAAAAATCATTGAATTGTATACTCTAAGTGGGTTAAAAAGCTTTTGAAATATTAAAGGATATTGTGAATGTTACATCACAAAAATGTTACATCAAAAAAAAATTACCTATAGCCCTGACAGTTTGGCTCAGTTGGTTGGGCATCGCCCCATGCACCACAGGTTGCCAGTTCAATTCCCAGTCAGGACACGTGCTGGGGTTGTGGGCTCAATCCTGTGTCGGATGCATACAAGAGGCAACTGGATGCATACAAGAGGCAACTGCTTGATGTTTCTCTCTCTCTCTCTCTCTCTCTCTCTCTCTCTCTCTCTCTCTCTCTCCCTCTCTCTCCCCCCTCCCTCCCTCCCTCCCTCCCCCTCTCTGTCTCCCCCTTCCTTTCTCTCCAAAATCAAAAACAAACGAACAAACGTCCTCGGATGAGGATTAAAACAATTGATCTGCAGGTCTGGATGTCTTTAATGTTGCTGTTTGTCAGAAAGGAGACACACATGGGCTCAGGCTTCGGCCGTCACAGAGGGTCTTGAGGACTCTCATTGTCCTGCGAGGGCCACACGCCCATCCCAAAGCAACCCCTGCGTCCTGGCTGCTGCGCTGGGGCCAGCAGGCTCGGGCACTGGCTCACGACTGCCCCTGGGAGGTGGACTGAGGATGAGGGTTTCCCAAGGAAAATTGGGTTTTCCTGCTCAGAACAGGGAAAGTAAGATGGGTAAGCAAACAAGCAGGTGTCAGCTGAGAGAGGTTGATACTTGAGAAGGTTTCAGAACGGAGGGAAGACGTTTTCTGCGTAGCAAACCCGGGGCCTAGTTGTCGATAAAGAGCAGGTTCCCACGGAGAAAGGCTGGAGGTGCAGGGGGAAATGGAGGAATAGGCCCCTCGAGGAAGGCGGGGGGATGGGGTTCAGGGAAGAGGGCGGGAGTCCCTCTTGTCCAAGGGGAGCAACTGTTTCTCAGAGTCGGGCAGGTAGGGAGCCGGTGGGAGGGCTGAGGTATTGAGAGGAGGTCACAGGAGCCTGTTCCCAGGTGACCTGGTGCTGCAGGCCCCTCCCCCGGGCCCCCACCCCGACCCCCAGCCGAGGGCCTGGGCTTGGAAACAGACTCAGGGATCAGGGGTTGAAAGCCCGGCTCCATCGCTCACTAGGTTGTGATGCTGGGACTCAGTTTCCTCATTTATTTATTTATTTATTTTTAATTACAAAACGATTTTTAATTTGAGAGAGAGAGGAAGGGAGAAGGAGGGAGAGAAACATTGATCAGTTGCCTCCTATACACACCTGACTGGGGATTGACCCGAAACCTGGGTATATATCCTGACTCTAATCAAACCAGTGACCTTTGAGTGCCTGGGACGATGCTCAACCAACTGAGCCACACCAGCCAGGGCCTATTTCTTTAATTTTTAAAAATTAATTTGAGAGAGAGGAAGAGGAGAGAGAGAGAGAGAGAGAGAGAGAGAGAGAGAGAGAGAGAGAGAGAACATAGATTTGTTGTTCCATTTATTTACACATTCATTGGCTGATTCTTGTGTGTGCCCTGATTGGGGATCGAACCCACAACCTTGGTGTTTGGGGATGACACTCTAACCAACTGAGCTACCTGGCCAGGGCTCAGTTTTCTAATTTATGAAATGAGGCTGATAATAACAGTGCCCACCCAAAGGATCATGGTGAGGATGAAGTGAGATAATACTTAGAAAAGCTGTGTCTGGCATAAGGAAAGACCTTGGGATTAGCTATTATAATGGTAACTAGAGGCCTGATACACGAAATTCATGCAAGGGGCTTGGCCCTTGCAGCCCCGGCCTCATCCAGAAGGCTGTCCGGATGGTCGTTCTGCTGTTCAGTCTAATTAGCATATTAGCTCTCTATTATACAGGATTATTATGATTTTTATTGCAGAGGGCTCACAGTGTCAGTAATGAATTCCAACTCAACTGGCTCCTGCTCCTACCTGCTGACATAGGGCCTCCAGTCCCCTGCAAAATTCCCCTCAAATATTGCCGATGGTCCCCATAGGGTGATTCAGTGGACTCGTCAGGGTGTGTCACCGAGCAGCAGCTGTTCTGCCGGCAGGGGCGTGGCAGCCAGAATCTCCCTCTCCCCTCCTGTCTCCTTTGTTGGGGGTTCCCAGTAAAGCCGCCTGTGCTTCCACCTGTGATGGTGTGGTGTTTCAGCTCTTCGGTTTTTAAAAAATATATATTTTTATTGATTTCAGAGAAGAAGGGAGAGGGAGAGAGAAACATCAATGATGAGAGAGAATCATTGATTGGCTGTCTCCTGCACATCCCCAGGGGACGAGCCAGCAACCCGGTAGAACCTGGGACCCTTCAGTCTGCAGGCCGGCGCTCTATCCACTGAGCCAGACGGACTAGGGCTCAGCTCTTCAGTTTTCACCCCTGCTGCTCTGTCTGCGAGGCCCGACAGGCTTCCTTGGCCTGCCCTGGCCCGGGGCGGGATTCGAGCGCTCTCCAAGGGCGAGGACTCCGCCATGGAGCCGTCTGGGAGACCCTCAGCCCTCCCGCAAGGACAGCCCCGTGAGGGGTCCCTTCCTGGCTGCTTGGCGATTTTCACCGCGAGGGTACATGGCAGTCACCAGGCTCTCGGGGCATGTCCTGCCACACCCCTTCCTGGGACAGCAGCCCAGCCAGTCCTTTTGCAGAAAGCTCGGGCAGAGCGAGGCCAGCCCTGCCCCGGGTGAGGGCAGCTGAGGATAAGGGTGGGTGGCCAGGGCCGCAGCTGCCACACCCCAGCACTTGCAGGCGGGGCCCCTGGCAGGTGGGGCTGCACTCAACCACCATGGCCCAGAATCAGGCCCTGAGGCCAAGACCCTCACCAAGCCAGCCGTCGGGCGGGCGTCTGCCCCAGGTAACTGCCATGGACACACCAAGACCTCCTCTGTCCGCCTGTTCCCAGCTCCCGTTTCTTTTTCTTTTTTTAAAAAAACTATATTTTTATTGATTTCAGAGAGGAAGGGAGAGGGAGAGATAGAAACATCAGTGATGAGAGAGAAACACTGATCGGCTGCCTCCTGCAGACCCCCCACTATGGATCGAGCCCGCAGCCCAGGTATGTGCCCTGGACCGGGACCCTTCAGTCTGCAGGCCGACGGTCTAGCCACGGAGCCACACCAGCTGGGGCCCGGGCTCCTGTTTCAATACAACTCTCTCCACTTTCTTCTGACCGACCTCCAGAGAGAGGCGCTGGGACGCGTCCCTCTCACTCAGCTCCCTTGGGTGCCCCGGGGCCCTGCGACGGAGAGCAGCCCTGTCCCTTGCCCGCAGCTGCTCTGGTTTTAGGGGCTGTTGGACTCAAGGCCAGGAAACGATTTCCTGGAGATGTTTCCTCACCGGTGCACCCGGAGCCCATACCGGTTCTGTCCTGGGCCGCGGCGAGGCTGGTGTTCTGAGCAGCGAGGACCGCTCAGGCCCCCCCCCCCCCCCCCCCCCCCCCCCCCCGGCTACTGGGAGTGCGTGTAACATAAACATGACGGCAAAGCCCAGCGACCACAGAAGACACAGATGAAATGAGGAAAAAAAAAAATCAAAATAAACAACCTCCCCCCCCCCCCCCGCCCCCTCCCCCCCAACTCACGCCGGGCCTCCCTTAGAAAAGCCAGGCTCCCAGAGCCGGGTGGGATGTGAGGCAGGCCTGTTCGGGTGGTGTTTATACAAGGAGCTTGGTTCCTCCCTCGGGCGAGTGAAGCAAGTTGTGAAATTTGAAGGCACATTTTAAAATTGTTTAAAATCCTGCAAATGTGTTTCCTGTCTGGCACTGTGAATGGGGAGCTGGGAGTGCGTGTGCATGTGTGGCCCTGAGCGTGCGTTAACGAGGGAGTTTAGAGGCAGCGATGCCGAGGAGCCAACAAGGATGGGGGGCGGGGGGGCGGGGCAAGAAAAGGCCTCTGTTGTTGCTCAGGGTGTGTGTTCCAGGGCTGGAATGTGTGTAAAGGGCCCAGGACTTGGGAGGGTGGTTTGGTCTGGGATATTAGCATCTTTTAAAAAACAACACCGCACTTATAAATCATCCGTTAGAGGCCTCGCGGGGCAGAGCCGCAGGGATGCGACTCTTACTTCTGAAGCAAGTAGGGGCGCTGATCTTTGACAACATCTACTAATGAGAATGGTGCGGTAGCCGCGCTGCTAAATGAGAGGGTGGCGACGAGTCCTCCCGCACATCCTGGCTCTCTACCTTCGCTTAAGCTGCTCCCTCTGCCGCGAGGCCCGCACCAGCTGTCGAAATCCTACTCATCCATTCCGGCTGGCTCAGAACCGCCGCCCCGCAGTGCGAATTACTCACTCCCTCTCCGGGCCCTCCTGACATTTTGTCTTTTACGATGTTTACTTTGTTCCTTCTCTCCTGAAACGTAGCTGAATATGGGACCATTCCCTGTCACAGGCCCCGGGAGGACTGGGTCCTGGCTCCGTTCTTGGTCAATATTTGTTGAATTAAACTTTTTTTTTAAAAATATATTTTATTGATTTTTTACAGAAAGGAAGGGAGAGAGATAGAGAGTTAGAAACATCGATGAGAGAGAAACATCGATCAGCTGCCTCCTGCACATCCCCCACTGGGGAAGTGCCCGCAACCCAGGTACATTCCCTTGATCGGAATCGAACCTGGGACCCTTCAGTCCACAGGCCGACGCTCTATCCACTGAGCCAAACCGGTTTCGGCTTTTTTTTTTTTTTTAAGAGGATTGGTTTGCAGACAATAAAGACCCTGCGCTGGGGTCTTGTTTGGTAACAGTCATCACACACTCAGATATTTTTTTATTTTATTTTATAGTTTTTGAACTTTGCCTCAGAGTCTAGACATAATTGCACTGGATTTAGAATTAATGAAATTGAAAATATAATTTGAAGGACACGTGGCTTTATTTTATTGCAGTGCTGATATATACGTGATAGACCTAATGTCTGTCTGGTGAGGAAGTCCTTTGTTTGGGGAGCATTTGCAGGGGGCGAGGTGGGCTGTGGGAAGTGTGTCTTTCTTGTGAAAATTCCTGGCACCCAATTGATGGAGGGCGGTGGCACTCCAGGAACGACGCCCTGTGGTGGTCTCTGGGACGGGTCTGGTGGCTCTCAAAGCTGAGCGTGGAAGGAACACTTGATTCTTATGAATAATTCAGAGGCCTCCGAAATGCAGCCTGTGTAATGGGCATGGTCAAGGGCGTGGCCATCTGAGAGCCCAGCTGTGTGTTCAGATCAACAAGCTCTCAAACAGAAATCGCACACTCCCGGCCGGTGGGACGCGGCTGGGCGTCGTCCTGTGCAGGAAGGTGGCTGCTGCGATTCACGGTCAAGGCACCTGCCCGGGTTGTGAGCTCGATCCCCGTGGGGGCTGCAGGAGGCATATATATATACATGTTACACACACACACACAATTACAGGCCCTTGGCGTGAAATAGGGAGGCTGTGCGGGCACAGAGCCGGGGTGGGCTCTCACGGGAAGGTGGGCACTCGTGCCCTTTCCTGCGCCCCAAGCAGGATGTGGTGCCGGGAGGCAGGTGCTGAGGCGCGAGGCAGACCCGGGTGTAGCTACCAACCTGCAGTCTCGCGTCTGAGCTCCCTCATCTGTAAAGTGTAAGGGGGCCCTGGTGCTCTGGTGAGTTGCCCAGCAACCGCATCTGGCAGGGGTAAGCGTGTTAGTCCTTCCGCGTGGCCTGGGACGTTTCCCCCTCCTCTCCTCCCGCCCATGTGTGCTACCCTTTCTTCCAGGTGAGGCTTACTGGGTTGAGCAAATAAAAATAGGCCATGCTCAGCTGAATTTGAATTCAGATAAACAATGGCTACTTTTGGGGTATGGGTACCTCCTATGCAACACTTGGGACCTATTTCTACTAAAAACGTAGTTGTTGCTTACCTGAAAGTCCAGTTCAACTGGGAGTGCTGCCGCTGATCTAACCACTCGGTGCCAAGTTCTGCTTCCTCCTCAGCTTAGCAGCAGCTCCACCCTCTGACTCCTGCAGCGCTTCAGGACTTGGGCACTTGTTTGCCACCCAGGGCACAGCCCCCCTTTCACTTATCAGTAACGACAGCCACTTGTGTGAGTACCAGGCACGGAGGCGCTTGGAGGCCTGGACTCACAGGGTCGCCCCCAGGCTGACATCAGTGTCCTCATCGAGGCCCAGGAGGGCCCGTGCCACCCAGGGGCGCACAGTGGCATCGTGCTGCAGACTCCCGTGTGCGAGACTGGACTCTGAACCCCACGCTGCTGTTCCTGGGGGGGGGGGGGGACCGGGGCCGACACCGCAGGCCTCTGCCGGCGCCCGGCCCACGTGGGATCGGCCCGGGTTTAAGTTTTCTGCTTTATGTTTGGAAATCAGCTAAAAGCAGCTGTGGTCCATCTTGGAGAACACGTTAGGCACATCGAAGCAGCCCCTTCTGATGGTCCATGGTCCCCCAGTGAAAATGCAGCTCCTTCTGCTGTTAGGCCTCAGTTGCTGCAGGAATCTCTCTTCCTCGCTGCGCACCGGAGTCAGACAAGTGCACGGTGGGCAAGCACGTTAGTCCCGGGACAGGAGGAAGTGCCCGCGGAGGGGGATGGGCATCGCTGTGGATGTCCGGGCCTGGGGTGGGCCTTGCCCCTGACCAGCCGGCTGCCTCCTTTGTTCCCACCCGCACCCTCTTGTCTATTTTTATTCCCATCCTAGCGTGTGTGCTTTTAGAAGAGGTGGGGGTGGTGGTGCAGGCACTGGTGGCTCCTCCTGGGAACCAAGGAGCGGTATCATCTCCACCCCGGGGTGGGCACGGAGCGGGGGTGGGGAGGGGGGTTAAAGGCCTGTCCAGGCTCCCAAACCTGTAAATAGCAGAGCAGGGACTTGAACTCAGGTCTGTCTGTTTTTGAATCTTTAGCTCTTTCCATGGTGACGCTCAAACCCTATCCTTCCAGAGACTCGGGGAAGCCTGGGGGGTTCATCACACGTGTCTGTTTCTCAAAACCGCGTACACATGCCTGTAAAGCATCACAGAAGAGGAGGATGGACCTGGCCGGTTTGGCTCAGTGGATAGAGCATCGGCCTGGGGACTGAAGGGTCCCAGGTTCAATTCCAGTCAAGGGCATGTACCTTGGTTGCGGGCACATCCCCAGTAGGGGGCGTGCAGGAGGCAGCTGGTCGATGCTTCTCTCTCATTGGTGTTTCTAACTCTCTATCCCTCTCCCTTCCTCTCTGTAAAAAATCAATAAAATATATTTTTTTTAAAAAAAGAGGAGGCTAGCCTCCTAAGGAGGAGAGCCACGTCACGGGAGAGGCTTCGGACAGGTGGAGGCGGGACCGCAGGGGAGGAGCAGCGATGGGTTTTTGAGCGGAAGCAGCTCTGAGGAGGGGCCCGCAGACGGAAGTCTCGCCAAAAGTCAGTCTGTTGGCTCCCAGGACCCAGGAGGGCTCAGGATCTGGGAAGAGCAAGGTATCTATCAAAGCAGATGTGCCCAGGACTGAAGTGGGGACAGGACGGGGGGAAAGGGGACCCAGAGCAGTTAGGCCCCAGGTCTTCCCTGAACCCCCAGAAGCTAGGCAACTACACCCCTGTCCACTGCCAGGGAGGGCGCCCCCGTGTGTCCACCTGCACTCCCCCTGCCCCTCCTCAGGTGTTGTCTGCTCAACCTCCTTGTCAGTTTACTCAGAGGAAACTCCCGCCTGCCCGAGTGCCTGGGACCTGCTGTGAGCACCGTCTGATGAGGACTGGCAGGTGTGTACCTAGCCCCTGTCTCACCTCACCCACACACTACAGATCCACTGCCCACTGGGCATCTCTGCCAGGAAGCCCCACTGCACCCCACACTCACCACTGCCAAGTGCACTCTGGATTCCACCCAAAGCCAATCGTCAGAAAATGCCCAACCCAAACAGGAGTCGCCCTTGACTGTCCTTCCTCTCCCGCAGCATCCAAGCCCCATCCTGTATCCCACTCCCCACCTCCACCTCTATCCCCGCTGGGCCATCCTCACCTCCCACCTGGGCTGAGCTCCCTGACACCCTGACAATCCTGTGTTTTACACAACAGCCAAGAGCTCCTCTTACCTGTAGATGTTACCCTGGGATCCCTTACTGAACTCTCCAGCGGCTCCCGGTCACACTTCCGCCACATTCTGGGGCCGACCGAGCCTTCCAGGCCCTACCTGATCTGGCCCTTCACACCCGCACCAACCTGACCTCAAACTATGTTCTTCTTGCTCACCATTCTCCAGCCACACTGGCCTTCTGCATGCTCCTTAACCTCCCAGCTCTGCTCTAGGGTCAGGGGATGTGTCCTTCAAGCCTCAGACTGAAAACTCTTGCCCAGGGTGTACGCTTGACTCATTCAAATGTCACCTCTGTCGAGAAGTCCTTTCTGCTGACTAGCACACGCGAGCGAGCTCATACACGCACTCCTGTCCTTCTCATCTGCTTCTTTGGCGTTATTTTCCCGCAGAGCACTTGTCACTACCTGGCATACCAGTATCTCTCTCTCTCTCTCTATATCTGTATGTATGTGTGTGTGTATATATCTGCATGTACGTGTGTATATATCTGCATGTACGTGTGTATATATCTGCATGTACGTGTGTATATATCTGTATGTACGTGTGTATATCTGTATGTACGTGTGTATATATCTGTATGTATGTGTGTATATATCTGTATGTATGTGTGTGTATCTGTATGTATGCATGTGTGTATATATATCTGCATGTACGTGTGTATATATATCTGCATGTACGTGTGTATATATCTGTATGTACGTGTGTATATATCTGCATGTACGTGTGTATATATCTGCATGTACGTGTGTATATATCTGTATGTATGTGTGTATATATCTGTATGTATGTGTGTATATATCTGTATGTATGTATGTGTGTATATATATCTGTAAGTACGTGTGTATATATCTGTATGTATGTGTGTATATATCTGTATGTATGTGTGCAGATATATACAGATATATTTTGTCTGTTTTATGTTTCTCCCCAGTAGGTTGTAAGCTTCATGGGGCATGGACTGTGTTCCCCGCTGTGGAGAATGGTGCCAGGCACATGGTAGGATTGCAAAAATAGGAAGGGCATGATCCAGCCTTAGAAGCACCAAACAAGATAGGGGAGACCCCTGGCCCTTTTCGGGGAGACCCCTGCCTCCTGAAAGCCAGGTTGGCCTCCCACAAAGGAGATTGGAAGACTCTCCTGCAGAAAGTCCCAGAGGATGGCCTCCGAGAACAGGCCAGGATGCAGAATAGAAAAGAAGAAAAAGCCATGCGATGGCCTTTCACGTCTCCCTTCCCTCCTTTCTTCCCTCCCACTGTCCCTCCCTCTCTCCTTCCTTCCCTCCTTCCCTCCTTCCCACTGTCCCTCCCTCCCTCCCTCCTTCCCTCCCTCTCTCCTTCCCTCCCTCCCTCTCTCCTTCCCTCCTTCTCTCCCTCCCTCCTTCCCTCCCTCCCTCCTTCCCTCCTTCCCTCCTTCCCTCCCTCCCACTGTCCCTCCCTCTCTCCTTCCTTCCCTCCTTCCCTCCTTCCCACTGTCCCTCCCTCCCTCCCTCCTTCCCTCCCTCTCTCCTTTCCTCCCTCCCTCTCTCCTTCCCTCTTCTCTCCCTCCCTCCTTCCCTCCCTCCCTCCCTCCCTCCCTCCTTCCCTCCTTCCCTCCTTCCCTCCCTCCCACTGTCCCTCCCTGTCTCCTTCCCTCCCTCCCTCTCTCCTTCCCTCCTTCTCTCCCTCCCTCCTTCCCTCCCTCCCTCCCTCCCTCCTTCCCTCCTTCCCTCCCTCCCACTGTCCCTCCCTCTCTCCTTCCTTCCCTCCTTCCCTCCTTCCCACTGTCCCTCCCTCCTTCCTTCCCTCCCTCCCTCCTTCCCTCCCTCCCTCTCTCCTTCCCTCCTTCTCTCCCTCCCTCCTTCCCTCCCTCCCTCCCTCCCTCCTTCCCTCCTTCCCTCCTTCCCACTGTCCCTCCCTCCCTCCTTCCCTCCCTCCCACTGTCCCTCCCTCCCTCCCTCCTTCCCTCCTTCCCACTGTCCCTCCCTCCCCCTCCCTCCCTCCCTCCCTCCCTCCCTCCCTCCCTCCTTCCCTCCTTCCCACTGTCCCTCCCTCCCTCCCTCCTTCCCTCCTTCCCACTGTCCCTCCCTCCCTCCCTCCCTCCCTCCCTCCCTCCCTCCCTCCTTCCCTCCTTCTCACTGTCCCTCCCTCCCTCCCCTCCTTCCCTCCTTCCCACTGTCCCTCCCTCCCTCCGGGAGCTTGGATTCTGTCTGTGAACAAACTGACAAAGATCTTTGTCTTGAAGAGATGACACTCCAGTGGGTGCAACCACAAGCCCAACCCGTGCAGTTACCCAACAGCTCCTCTGTGCCTCGTGCTGAAGGACGGCTATAGTCAAGGATCAGCAGGCATTTAGGAAGCTCCCAAGGGGAAAAAGGCAGAGATAAAGCACGATGGGGAAAAGAAATCACAAGAAAATAGGAACAGCCCTGACTGGTTTGGCTCAGTGGATAGAGCGTCGGCCTGCGGACTGAAGGGTCCCGGGTTCGATTCCGGTCAACAGCATGTACCATGGTTGCGGGCACATCCCCAGTAGGGGGTGTGCAGGAGGCAGCTGATCGATGTTTCTCTCTCATCGATGTTTCTAACTCTCTATCCCTCTCCCTTCCTCTCTGTAAAAAATCAATAAAAAATATATTAAAAAAAAAGAAAATAGGAATAATGCAGGGAGTAGAAGGAATCAGGGAAAAAAAATAAAAATGGTAACTGATACAAGAAACTCCCTAAGAAGGGAAGGTTTAGAATGAGAGTGATCACGATTTCCGTTCAGACAAAGGGTCAGGCATCAGCCGAGTCTTAGATTTCTCAGGAGCAACCGTAGAACCGAGGAGACCTGAAGAAATAGAGACCTCGAAATCCGAGGGAAAATGTTTCCAAGGTAAAATCATACCCCAGCCAAACGAGCAGTGCAGAGTGGGGTTCGGATGAAGAGCACTCTGAGTCACTCAGTGACACAATACCGCCCCCCGCCCCCCCCTCCCCGCCTGCGGTGTTTAGTGTTTTTCAGGAAGCTCTTGGAAGTTTGCCTGCAAAAAGGGGAAACAGAAAGAAAGGAGACAGGGCATCCAGGAAACACGGCTCTGGCACAGGAAAGGGGGCGGGAATTCCCAGACGGTGGGTGAGAAAGCTCCCAGGTAGCGGCTGCGCATCTGAGCTAAAGACCCACCAGCCCAGCCCTGGCCGCTGTGGCTCAGCTGGTTGGAGCTCCTCTCATGCACCTAAGGGTCTTGGGTTCGATTCTCCGTGGGGGCGCATATGAGAGGCAGCTGATTGAGGCAGCTGATCAATAGTGAAACACTGATGTTTCTCTCTCTCTAAAATCAATAAAAACACATCCTTAGGTGGGGATTAAAAACACACACAAAACAACCAGCCAACCGAGATTACAACAGAGGAGTGAAGCCTCCAGGAAGAGCCTCCCCAAGAAAAGGGCCCAGGCCCCCCGCTGCGCTGCGTCTGACCACGTGGAGAGGGGGGACTGAGCAGAGAGTTCAGAACAGGTTAGCAATAAGGAAAATAAGCGAATAAAATGTATTTTATATTTAAATCCATTTTTGAATAGGAAATACATTCACGTGGTTGAAAAATCAAAATGATATAAAAAGCAAAATAACTGACTCACGCACCCATCCGTCTCCCTCCAGACAGGTAACCGTTTTTGTTAGTAACTTCCAAGGTTTTGGTTTTTTTTAAATAATTGTGATAAAAAGCACAATAACATAGAATTTACCACTGCAACCATGTTTCCGTGTACAGTTCACGAGTGTCGACCACATTTCCCATCGTCGTTTTCCAGCGTTTTCTTAATAAGGTCCA